AGTGAGTTCCAGGCCAGCTGTGGCTACAGGGAGACCCTCTCTCAAAAAGACCAAATAATAGGGGTTGGGGATTTAGCTCAGTGATAAGGCCCTGGGTTCGGTCCTCAGCTCCGAGGGAAAAAAAAAAAAAAAACAATAATAATAGGGGCTAGACAGATGGCTTAGTAGTTAAAAGCACTGACTGCTCTTCCAGAGGACCTAGGCTCAGTTCCCAGTTACCCACATGGCAGCCAGCAACTGTCAGTAATTCCAATATTGGGAGATCCCCTTTTGACTTCCATGAGCATTGTACAACATGGTGTGTTTAACATACACGGAGGCAAAAACACTCATACATGGGGCTGAAGAGATGGCTCAGTGGTTAAGAACACTGGTTATTCTTGCAGAAGACCCGGGTTCTCATCCCAGCACAAACATGGCAGCTAACAACTGTCTGTAACTCCAATCCCGGGGGATCCAACAGCCTCTTCTGATCTCTGCAGTCATTGTATGACAAGGGTGCACTTACATACACGCAGGCAATACATGCATACACATAAAATAAAATTTAAAAAATTTTTTTTCTTTTTGAGGCAGGGTCTCCCTGTAGTCCCAGCTATTCTGGAATTCACTATGTAGACCAGGCTGGTCTTGAACTCACAGAGATCCGCCTGCCTCTGCCTCCCAAATGCTGGGATTAAAGACGTGCGCCACCATGCCCAGCAAATTTTTTAAATTACTATTAAAAAAATACAATAGACTCCCAAAAAAAAAAAAAAAAAAAAAAAAAAAAAAAAAAAAAAAACCAGCTGGGCATGGTAGCGTATGCCTTTAGTCCCAGCACTCAAGAGGCAGAGGCAGGAGGATTTCTGAGTTCAAGGCCAAAAAATCCAAACCCCAAACCTAACCTAACCTAAGGATGTGGCGGGGAGGGGTGTGGGGGGGTATGAGTGAAAGAGAGAGAGGGAGGCAGAGACAGGCTGTTCGTATTTCCCTCAGCAAAGATGATACATTTAATTATGGAGTGCTGCAGAATTTCTTGAGGGTTTTATGACATCATACAACACAGTACCTCTATAAAATCTGTAGCTTTAGTCTAGATTGTGTGTTGTTCCAAGAGTTTGGAGTAGGAAATTGAGGGTGCATGTTACTTTTCTGTATAAGAATGATCATTTAGCGGGGCATGGTGGCACATGTCTTTAATCCCAGCTCTCAGGAGACAGAGGCGATCGGATCTCTGTGAATTCAAGGCCAGCCTGGTCTACGCAGTGAGTTCCAGGACAGTTGGGGCTACAGGAAAACCCTGTCTCAAAAAAAAAAAAAAAAAAAAGAATGATCATTTTCCCAAACCTTCACCACCACTAAGCCTTACAGTAAGTAACGCAGTCAGATTGTAGGTATTACTAGCCCCAGAGACCGCAGTGGTAGAACTTAGATTTATGATGTAACTCTGAATTCTAGAAGGAAAACAACCTTAAGGGACCTAGTCTCACTACTGTATGCCTGCTTTAGTTGTTCCCATAGTTAACTTGTTGGAAAGTTAACAATGTATCAAGTGAGCAGATCTAATAGTAATTTGGCAAGAAGATAACAGTGTGGTCTCTTAGGCATCCTGGATGACTGATGCTTTTTGAAGAAAAAGTAGTGGTTGCAATGATGGCCGTACATACAGGTTTTATATGAAAATACTTCACTTTCCTGTTTATCGAGCCCAGAGTTGTCTAATGAAAAATTGTGGTAGTTTGGGGGTTAACGTATTATTATATTGGTAGCAACCTGTTTGGACTTCTCTCTTCTTTCTGGTTTGTAATTCCTTTGCCATCACATTAGAAACATTGAGTTCAACTTTAATTCCTCTAGGAGTTCGTTTGGGTTTTTTTTTGTTCATTTTTCATGACAGGGTCTCCTGTAGCCTCAGCTGACCTGGAACTTACTACATAGACCAGGATGAAGTCACAGAGGTCTACCTGCCTCTCCTGAGTGCTGGGATTAAAGGCATGTGCCACCACTCCTGGCCCTCAGCTGCATTCTTTTTTAAAAAAAAAATTTTTATTGAATTTTTGTATATTTCATATATAAAATCATCTTTATGCTCCTTTCCTCTTTGGCCCTCCCATAGCCCCGCCACTGGAGTTCATACATTTTGTCAGTCTGTGTTAAGGCCTATTATGTAAAGTTAGTGTCCTGAGATGCCCCTCAGTGCAAGTTCATCCTCCAGGGTTTAACTATCTAGAATCTCTTCCCTTTAAGAAGATCAGCTCTTCCTCACGCAGCAGTAATCAGCTGCCAATAATTCTTCCACTAAGACAGTGGCTTGTTCATTTCTGCAGTTCTGTGCTGGGTTTTTGTCTGCCTGAGTTTGCATGGGTCTTGTGCATGCTGACACCATTGCTGTAGGTTTGTATGAGAAGAGTCCCAGGCTCCTGTAGGACCATTTCCATATGGTCATGTACCACCTCCATGGCTCTTACAATCTTTCTGCCCTCTCTTCCGCAACGGTCCCTGAACCTTGAGTGGGTGGACCTCAATATAGGAGTCGTGTCCAAGGACCCACACTCTGCCAATTCTTATTCTCTGTGTTTTGGCCATTTGTGACCTTTCGTGTTCCTGGTCCTCTGTTGCATGAGGGAGCTTCATTGATGAGAGTTGAGGTACATCAGTGTTCTCTTCATCCCTTGTTCTGTGTTCCATGAGTCTTAGATGTAGAGGTTGCATCCTGGACGTGACACCTAGACTTGTGCAATTCACAGAAAATCTTTGTGTGTGACCAGTGGTGTACCTCTGTAATAATCTCTGTTGAAAAAGAAGCTATTTTGATGGGTGGCATGCTGGATAGCTTTAGTGTCAACTTGACACACCTGGGTTGAGGGAGCCTCAATTGGGGGATTTCCTCTATTGGACTGGCCTGTGGCCTTGTCTGAGGAGCATCTTCTTGATGAGTGATGTGGGAGGACCCAGCCCACTGTGGGTGGTACCACTCCTAGGCAGGTGGGCCTGTGTTGCATAAGAAAGCAAGCTGAGCAGGGGCCAGGGGAGCAGACCTGTAAGCAGCGATCCTCCATGGCCTGTGCTCCAGCTCCTGACTCCAGGTTCCTGCCCTGAGTTCCTACCTTGGGTTCCATGGTGAACTGCGGCCTGGGAGATGTAAGCTGAATAAACCCTTTCCTCCCCAAGTTGGTATTGGTCAGAGTATTTTGTCACAGCAATGAAGAACAGACTAGGACAGGTGGTGACTGAGATACTTGTCTGTAAATTTAAGGATCCATATTTTGCACATAGTAAGAAATTACATTTGCTTGGATATATGAGAGCCTTGGGGTTTTCTATAAGCTTTACGACCTCTCCTGCTATGTGTATTTGGCTAGGTTTACAGTACAAGACAAAAGTTTCCTCCCATTGAGTGGTCTTTAAGTCCAGTCAGGTAGCTGTTGATTACCCCCAAGATAAAAGTGCCATTACTGTACCATTGTCATTTGCTGTGCCCGTCATTGATGTGGTTTTTAGGCCTTGAAGCTGGGGTTGGACTAGTGATTGATGTTCTCCCTTTGCTTGCATAGTGCTCTCCAAGGCTAAGAGAACTTGCCTTCAGGGGAGGTGGCTTCCAGGCCCGTTCCAGCTCCATTGCTCCAAATTCTGTGTCCAAAATATGTCCTGTCTTCAGCAGTAGGGTCGAACCATCGAGTTCTGGGAGGCAGTCAAGGATGTGGCAATTGCCTGTGTAGTCTCTTGGACTACCCTGGCCAACAACTCAAAGGAAGATTTCTCCTGTCTGGCAATGTTTCTTATTATATAGCCTTCAGCTGTACACATGGACTTGTGTAGAGATACTGTATGTGTAATTTTTTCATAGGTTTTTGGATTAATACAATTCCCTCTGGTTTTGTTTTTTTTTTTTAATACTAGCTAGGCATTATTTATATCTCCTCTTTCTCTCCCTGTCTTATCCTCCCTTCCTGCCCTCCCCATTTAAAGTGTCCTCATTTTCCCCATTTCTCCCTTGATAATTTCTGTCTGCTGTGGTCCCACCTCTTTTGAACTCCTTCTTCCCCTTTATTCCCATAGTTCTTCGTACAGCCCTCTTTCTGCCCCTTCCCCTTTACCCCCTTTTTTATACATTTCTCCCTTAATAAATGCCTGTCTCCTACTATCCTCTCTAGGGTTCCTTCTTTCCCTTTACCTCCCTGGTTTTCTTCCATTGTCCTGGTTCCTGCAGTTAAATCATGATATGCACTCTCTTAAAAGGATTTGCTGCTGGGATCCACAAATGAGAACATACACCATTTGTTTTTCTGAGTCTGTTACTTCACTTAGTATAACAGTTTCTAGATCATCCATTTACCTGTAAATTTCATCTTTTACTTTACTGCTGGGTAGAACTCCATTGTGTAAATATACCACATTTTTGTTTACCACTTGTCAGTTGAGGGACACTTGGGTTGCTTCCATCTGTTAGCTATTGTGAAAAGAGCAGCAACAAACATGGTTGTATAAGTGTCTCTGCAATAGGATGAAGTTTTTGGGTATATGCCAAGAAGTGGTATAACCGGGTCTTATGGTAGGTTCATTTTTAGTTTTAAATTTTAAGAGTTCTCAATAGGGGTTGCTTGAGTTTGCAATCCCACCACAGCTGGATTTTTTGTAAGTTAATGTCATGTAATATTAACTAAAATATTGTGTTTTTTTTTATTTTTCCCTTTGAATGATTGGTATATTAGTTTCTTTAATTGTTGGAACAAAGTGTATGACCAGAAATGTGAGGAAGGGTTTATTTTGGCTCCCAGTTTGAGGGTGCAGTCTGCTGTGGCAGAGAACTAGACACGAGTCACTGGACACGATTGGGAGGCCACTGGCTCATCGCATTCAGTCAGTAGGGAGCAGGCAATAAAGGCTCTGCCCAGCTTGCCTTCTCCGTTTTATTCGGTCTTGGGACCTCAGTCCATGGAATAGTGCAGCTCAGATTTAGGGTGGGTCTTCATACCTCAGCTAATCTAATCCAGAAAATTCTTCACAAACATTCCCAGAGATTTGTTTTCATGGTGATCTGAATCCTGTCAAGATGACCATCAAGATTAACCATCACAGGTAATTAGCTGGCTGCTCCAGCATTATTTGTTGGAATAAGCCAGTCTTCCTAAGCTCAAGTCCTATGTTTATCATACCTAATTTCTTGTGTGTACTTAGGTGTATCATTGGTTTGGAATATATACTAGTCTGTGACAGAAAGCTTATGGGAAAATTTGCACTTTCATCTCAAGTATTGTGGCAACTTTTTTTTTAACACTTCCAGATCTATAAGAAAGATGTAGATGTCTTTTAAGCTGGCACATTCATTTGGAAAATATATTTTATGGTGTTTTCTATGTAGCAACACATTATTAGAAAGATATGAGAGCCACACTACGAAGAAATAAAGTACATATACTTCTCTCCAGAACTGAATTGCAAATGTAAAAGTGTAGTCAAGGGATGGATGGAGGTATAGTTGAGGGGAGGTGTAGATCAGTGGAAGAGTGCTGGCTTGGCCTGTGCAGGCCCTGGGTTTAATCCCAGCTCAAAATCAAAATACATTTGTGTGTGTGTGTGTGTGTGTGTGTGTGTGTGTGTGTGTGTGTGTGTGTGTGTTATTTTGCGGAAATAATCTTTAGACTTTGGAAATAAACTGTTATAATCACTGCAAAAGCTTTTTTTTAAATTTTGTTTTTCCTCTTAAATTATGGTCATGTGTTGTTGTTAAATTACTAGCAATTTAAATTATTTAAAGAACCTGAAAATTGTCTGGTTATTCGTGTGTTCTGGGATGTTTATATTTTGTTGAAGGCAAAAAGTTAAAAGTACAACTGTTCATTTTCTCTGGTTGACTTGATATGTAGCAGACTTTGAAATTTTCATTTCTCCTGTTTCATTTTTATGCTACTGTCTAAAGTTGTAACTACAAATAAATGTAGTCTATATTGAAGACTGCCAATTTAATCATTGTAGTTTAAAAGTGTGGTAACATAATCTAATTGAAGTTTTTTACTTTTTGGTTTTCCAGAAGATCTACTGAACATAAGATGTTGCTGCAAAATCTACCTCCCGTATTTTCCTCTTTTATTCATAAGCTGCACAATTGCAAATTTGAGCAGAATGTCTGGAGACTATGTTGAAACCCCCTGAAAAAAACAGTTAATACAGGATGACCTAGCAAAGATTGTCGGCCTGTAACAAGATACTCATAGTTACTGTCCTGGCTCCTGAATGTTGCAGATAGCAGCAAGCAGACTTTTTCATTTCTGAAGTATTCATCTGATTTTCCAGCAAGACAGGATTTCTAATCTGTCCTGGAAGACGTTAATGGAATACAGTCATGTCCACTCCAGAGGAGAGGCAGATCAGTACTGAGTATGCTGTGTCCTTGTTGAAGCAGTTGAGACTGTTCTACGAGCAGCAGCTGTTCACTGACATCGTGTTAATTGTTGAGGGCACAGAGTTCCCTTGCCATAAAATGGTTCTTGCAACGTGTAGCTCTTATTTCAGGTAAGAAATCTGATCTTGTTTAGTTTGTAATAGTAGTATTATTGAAAATGTTTTATTACATGTATTTATTGTGTGTGGTGTGCATGTGCCATCAGAGGACAGCTTGCTGGAGTCAGCGCTCCACCTTCACAGGGATTCTGAGGCTTGAACTGGGGCACCTTTACCCACTGAGCTGTCTCTTGCTGGAATACTGTTATAGTAATAAGAATTCTTGTGAATGTTAAAGTTTTTAAAAATCATCTCTTAGTGTTTTACTTAAATTTTCAATTCAATGACTTGTCAAATAATTTCCTTGCATGTGCAAGGACAGGCGAAAGTTTTCACAGTATAAATACAAGAAAGTTGCTAATTAAAATTTTATTGTAGTGGAGGAGTAATACTCAGAATACCATTTTTTTTCTTGAAGAAAAAAATAAATAATTTGCTTATTTTCAAAATACATTTAGAAAATCAAGATACTCATTTATAAACTGAAGAGTTAAGTAATTGACTCATGATTTTTAGGTGATGGTGCTGTTGAGATACTACCTTCAACAGCAGCAAGGATTGATAACACCTTCATGTTCTTCCTCTCTGTTACTGTTATATGTGAGCCCTTTTAAAAGCCTTGCAAGACACCTTGCAACTTTCTTTTTTTGTCTTTTTGAAACAGGGTCTCTCTGTAGTCCCAGCTGGCTTAGAACTAGCTACATAGACCAGGCTGGCCTCAAACTCACAAAGATCCTCCTGTGCATGTGCAAGGACAGGCGAAAGTTTTCACAGTATAAATACAAGAAAGTTGCTAATTAAAATTTTATTGTAGTGGAGGAGTAATACTCAGAATACCATTTTTTTTCTTGAAGAAAAAAATAAATAATTTGCTTATTTTCAAAATACATTTAGAAAATCAAGATACTCATTTATAAACTGAAGAGTTAAGTAATTGACTCATGATTTTTAGGTGATGGTGCTGTTGAGATACTACCTTCAACAGCAGCAAGGATTGATAACACCTTCATGTTCTTCCTCTCTGTTACTGTTATATGTGAGCCCTTTTAAAAGCCTTGCAAGACACCTTGCAACTTTCTTTTTTTGTCTTTTTGAAACAGGGTCTCTCTGTAGTCCCAGCTGGCTTAGAACTAGCTACATAGACCAGGCTGGCCTCAAACTCACAAAGATCCTCCTGCCTCTGCCTCCCAAGTGCTGGGACTAAAGGTGTGTGCCACCACACCCTGCTACAACTTTCAAATATTTAATAGTCCTTGTTTTCTTCTCTGTGTCTCAAATTAGAAGTTGATTTAGTTACACTGTAGCTTTCATGATTACATTGGCTAGTCTTTTACTATTTTTGGTATTCAGGGAAATGGTTACTTTACAGAAGTCCAGTGTTCTGGTAACATAGGCATAGTCTAGAATAGCCAGCCTTGGTTCTTATTACCGACTTCTACTGGAGTAAATGTTAAAACAGAAAAAATGCTTTGATCTTGCACTGCAGTGTAGTTCTTATTCAGTTTTTGGGGCTCTGTGTGTATATGCTTATCTCCCACTTTTTAGTGTCAGATGGGTGACGCTGGTAGCAGCAGGTGTTCGGGGTATCCTCTCTGGCTCTTGATTACTTAGGTTTATTACTGGTGTCGAGCCCGCACTCTGCTTGGCAGACGTTCCTCGTGGCGTGGCCCCAAAATGGCAGTCAGCACCCCTGCCTCAGCCCAAGAAGTCCAAACCCATGGCTGTCCCAAAGCTGGCCGACTCGTCGGCCTCCCCCAGCCTGCAGAAGGGAGAAAAAGAACAAGAAGAAGCAGTTGAACATACTGATGAAGTACAAAATGAGACAGACTTAATGAACAAGCCAGTGAGGAAATTTTGAAAGTAGAACAGAAACATAACAAACTCCACCAACCATTTTTTCAGAAGAGGTCAGAATTGATTGCCCAAATCCCATATATGGGGGTAACAACATTTGTCACCCATCCACAAGTGTCTGCACTGCTTGGGGAGGAGGATGAAGAGGTGCTGCATTATTTGACCATAATTGAAGTGACAGAATTTGAGGATATAAAATCAGGTTACAGAATAGATTTTTATTTTGATGAAAATCCTTACTTTGAAAATAAAATTCTCTTCAAAGAATTTCATCTGAATGATGAAATTCTTTGAAGAATTTCAAAGTAGTGATCCATCTTCAAATTCCACTGAAATCAAATGGAAATCTGGGAAGGATTTGACAAAGTGCTCAAGTCAAACACAGAATAAAGCCAGCAGAAAGAGGCAGTGTGAAGAGCCAGAGAGCTGCTTCACCTGGTTCACTGACCATTCTGATGCCTGCACAGATGAATTAAGAGAGATCATCAAGGATGACATCTGGCCAAATCCCTTGCCAGTACTACTTGGTTCCTGATGTTGGAGATGAAGGAGGAGAAGGGGAAGATGATGATGATGATGATGATGGAGGGGAAGAAGATGATGCGGAAGAGGATGAAGGAGAAGATGACTGAAAGAAAACACTGACGGATTCCAACTTTCCTTTTTTAAAAAAAAATTTCTTTTTATTTTTTTAATTTTCTCCAGTCCCTGGGAGCAAGTTGGAGTCTGTAGTGAGAAATGTGATTTACCCTGATTGACACCTCAGTGCTTGGATTCCTCTCTGCTTGCCTGCGATCTGTCCCTACTGCCCATTTTGAACTATATTGGGAGTTGCCAGTAACGTTAGTTCCTTTGCAGTGTTTATCAAAACACAGTTTGTGTTTTGAGACAGTCTCTCGCTGAAGCCCAGGCTGTCTCAGAACTCACTGTAGCCCAGGCTGCCTTTGAGCCCTCAGTGATCCTCTTGTTTTAGACTCCCAAGCACTGAGATTACAAGTGCAAGCCAGCATGCCTGGATGCCTGGTCAGGGCAAGAGCTAGACCCTGGCCCTTTAAAAAAAGTTGGGTTTGGCTGGCTTTGAACTTGCAAACCTCCAGTTCTAGCCACAGCCTCCCAGATAGCTGGGATAGGGGTGTGCCCCCTACGCTGCTGATGCCACAGCTCTGACACCCATACATCTCCGCTGAGTGGCATCATGCTCTGGTGGTTCTGACTTTCCTCATGAGTCTGTCAACTGCACTTTTTATTCTTTCCTTTAAATCCCAGTGTAATTCTACCTCAGTTTTGTTGCTGGGATTTTAGGGTAGGTTTTTTTGTAGGTTTTTAGTCTTACATAGCCAACCACTTATAGATGAGTCATGACCACTGCATTAAAGCCTCATCTCCAGTATCCTCTGATCCTGCATTCTTTTTTTAAAAAAATATTTTATTATTTTTATTTGTATGAGTGTATTGCCTGTATGTATGTGAGTGCACCTGTGTCGTGCATTGCCGCAGAGGTCAGAAGAGGGCTTCAGATTCCCCTGGAACTGGAGTTAAGGACGGTTCATAGCCACCATATGGGTGCTGGGGATTGAACCTGGGTCCTCTGCAAGAGCAGTCAGTGTTCTTAACCGCTGAGCCGTCTTTCTAACTCTGATACTACATTCTTTTCTGGGGATTATATTGCTTTAACCATTCAACTCAGCTACCTTTCAGTCAAACATGTAACTTGATTTTTTCTAAGGATTAACTTTCCTTCTTTGCCTTACAAACTGTTAATGGTAAATGTTTTTCAGGTATTTAACAGAAATAGACAGAGGGCTTTGACTCTGTCTGCTTCCTGTACCACCCCATCTAGTTGAGAGAAGCTAGGACTTAGGCCCTTTGTGACGCTCTTTGTGTCCATTTCTGGCACCCTGCCCCCAGCTGGGTGATTGCTTTAGTCTCCGTCATTTGGCTCTTGAGGTCTGTGAGTGTGTAGAGTATTCATTGACACTCAAAACACTTGAGTCTTTACTGTCTGCAGAAAAAAAACCCTCAAGACTTCTTTGAGGCAGTAGGGGAGACTGGGATTGAGCCTAAGGCTTTATGTGTGCTATGGATATATGATTGAGCGACCTGCCCAGCCCTGTCATCCATTTATCTATTTTATTTGATTTTATTTTTTGAGACTGGGTCCTCCTGTAGCCCCCACTGGCCTGGAACGCAATTTGTAGACCAGGCTGGCCTGGATCGGCAGAGATTGTGTGCCTCTGCCGGTGAGTGCTGGGATTAAAGGTGTGCGCCACTATACCCTGCTCAGCCCTGTCATGTCAAAGGCCTTCTGTGATTTGCCTCTCATCTTTCCATCATTTTCCAGCATCCCGCATGAACCTTGTGTTCAGCTATACCCTGAAGAGTTGTGTCCCTTGCTGTTTTATTCATTTTGAATACTTTCTCTTCTCTTTGTTCCTGAGGGGCCAAAGCTAGTAACTTTTGATACCCACTCTTCAGTCACCGCGCCCAGGGGCTTTTCTCTTGTGCATACAGTGATATTCTTTCATGAATTTTGTGGTGTATGTCGTGGCAAGATGGCTTGTTGGATAAAGGCTCTTGCCACCAAGCTTGACAACCTGAGTTTCATCCCTGGGTCCCATATTGTGGAAGGAGAGAATTGACTCCTGCAAGTTGTCCTCTAACCTCCACATTTGCCGTGGCACACATGTGCTCTTGCTCGCTCTCTCAGTCCCTCTCACTTTCTCTTGCTCTCGTACACACACATACGCACACATGATAAATAAAAATTATTTTTAAAATACTTTAAAAAATTCTGTATGGACAGGTGTATATCTGTATCTGTAATCCCAGCGCCCGGAGGCAGGGGCAGGTGGATCTCTTGAGTTCAAGGCCAGCCTGGTCTACATAGTGAGTTCCAGGCCAGCTGGGGCTACAGGGAGACCCTTTCTCAAAAGACAACCCCCCACCCCTCCAAAAAAATTCTAGGCAATATCAGTTGCCTTTTCAGCATAGTTTCCTGCATATGTTTTTATATTGGTGTCCTCTGGTTTTTTAGGAAATTCTTTTAAGTGGTTTGTTAGCTTATCAAGAGCTTTACTGAGTTTATGCACCATTAATCCACCGATGTCACATGTACAGTCAGCTGTACACTGGCTCCTCATACATTCAATTACAAGTAGAAAATGTTCTTTTTTAAAAAACTTGCCAAAAAAAAACTTGCCTCCACTGAATAGGTGTAGACATTTTTGTCACTCGTTAGGCAGTCTAACAACTACTTACATAGTAGTTACATTGAGGACTTAAAAGTAGCCTAGAGCTAATTTTAAAGTATGAAAGGCTAGGACTTGGCTAGAGGTGTAGCTCAATTGGTAGAGTGCTTGCTTAGTATGTTTGATGTTAAGAGGATGTGTGTAGGTTATATACAGATATTATACCATTTGTTAAAGATCTTAATACCTTTGCTTTGGGGTTCTAAGGAGTATCCCAGAACCAACCTGAGCAAATTATGAGGTTGAGTTGTATGATTAAGTGAATTGTATTTTGCAGAGTTGTCCTACCATCTAATGTAAACATCTCTATTACCTTGTGTTCATGTGTCTGTCACTTCTCAGGTCTCTCCTGTAGCTCTAGGAACCTACTGTCTACTTTCTGTCTAATATTTTACTTTTTGGATCTTTCATGAATTAGTTATATTTGGTCCTGTATATCTGGCTATGCTGAATGTCATATTTTGAGGTTCATTTCTTTTATCTGTACTTTGATTTTATTTTTTTCTTCCATTGTGTTACTGTATATGATTTTCTCATCTCCTTTGAAAGTCTTCCCTGTAAGTAAATGTCCTCAATAAACATCCCATGTTAGATTAGGAGCTAGAGAGATCACTCAGTGGTTAAAAGCACTGGCTGCTCTTGCAGAAGACACAGGTACAGGTTCAGTTTCCAGCACCCACTGTCCATAACTCCAATTCAAAGGGATCCGATGCTCTCTTCTGACCTCTTCAGATTTTGAATGACATGGGTACACTTAAATACATACAGGCAAAGCCACACATACATATAAGAATAAACAAAAAGAATCCCATGTTGCCATTTGGTTGCTGATTTTGTTGTTTTAGCTCCGTATTACTTTGCATTGATAAGCTTTGGTTTCCTCTTTCAGGGCTATGTTTATGAGTGGACTGAGTGAGAGCAAACAGACACATGTGCACCTGAGAAACGTGGACGCTGCCACCTTGCAGATGGTGATAACTTACGCATACACGGGTATCTTGGCATTGAACGACAGCACTGTAGAGCTGCTTTATGAAACAGCTTGCTTCCTACAGGTAAAATCAGGCTACTGTTCGTCCCCTCTATTATCTGATAGCTTATTTTGTCAGGAAACATTATTTCATTAGTGATATCTTTGTTTTAATCTGTATAGTCTTACTACAAACTTTAGGAGGTAAAATTTTTCGTGAAAGAGGAATCTGAACTCATCCGCTGGTAGTTTACTGCAGGAAGATCATTGAAGACAGGTCTCCAGAAGCTGCTGAAGCTGCTGGTGCACCATGTGCTGTGGGTGTGGTCTTCTATGTTTGTGAACATCTGTGTGCTGCCGTTATGGTCTATGGGTGTGAACATACACAGACATAGGATCTGAAGTTTTGAAAACTTTAGCTGTGCTGTCAGCTTTCAATAAGAGGATTCCAGTTTACCACTGAGTTGGCAGTATGCCAATTAACAGCAGTATTGGTTTAGGAAGGCTAAACTAACTTTTTCCCATTTGTACAGGGGTAATATATTGTGTTAAGTCTACAGGGTCCTATCTGTGTGGGTGCGGTTACAGAAACTAATATAAAGTGTAGATAAACTTTTAAAAAATAAGTGAGCTGGATATGGTGGTGGTACAGAGCTGCAGTCAGTGCTGGGGAGGTGGACTCAGGAAGATGGTATGTTCCAGGATGTGTTAGCACTGCAGTAAGGACCTCCTGCCTTGAAAGACAGAGGGAGAGAGAGAGGCAGGAACAGATCAATTTTCATGCTGGTTTCATACTCTGCCTAATATGCCTAAGAATTGAGATTACAAGTTAGCTTTCAAGTGCTTATTGAATTTAAATGCCTTTGTGTTTAGAGGTTAAATGTATTGTTTGATAGAATTCTCAGACAAATTTAGATTATTATAGAAGTGATCAAAGGTAAATTAATGATTATAGACCACATTGAGGTATTAATAGGTAAGTAAAATTGATGGTACATTTTTGTATGGCTGGCTGTTTTCCTCTGTTTCTCACATTCCCTTTTCAGATTTTAATAGGAATATGACTGTGTTCATCTTCCCTTCCTCTTTGGAATAACGCTTTGTATTTTGGAAATTGGCATTTTCAACAGGCACATGGTGGCACATACCGTAATTCTAGCACTTGGGAAGCTGAGATGGAAGGATTGAGAGTTTGAGGGCAACCTAAGGTACACAGTAAGACCTTGTTTCAAAAACAGAGAGTTTCTGCAAAGGGACAACCTTGAGACTTACACTCATGAGCCAGCATTGACTAGGCATGTATCAGGAGCCAGCACTGACTAGGCATGTAGATGAATAGCCCTTAAGGCTGAGCTCTCAGGTGTGCCACCATGCCTGACTTGAATAGGAGAGTTACGTAGGCCAGTGGGCAAGAGAAGAAATATGGGCTGGAGAACGTATGTGTCCGTAAGCAAAACTTCACAGTTTGGGAAATCTGCTATGGGGAATCTAGATCTACATAACTCAGTACAAGGTGCTGGGCTCAGTCCTCAGCACCATTTTCAATCTTAAAGATTTATTTTATGTGTATGAGTGCTTTGCCTGCATGTATATATGTGCCACATGCATGCAGTGCCCTCAGAGACAGAAGAGGTGGTAAGATTCCCTGGAACTGTAGTTCCAGGGGGGTTTGAGTCCCCATGTTGGGGCTGGAAACTGAACCCTGGTCTTTGGAAGAACAGAAAAGTAAGGCTCTTAACTGCTGGGTCCCCCTCCCCACCCCCAAAACATTTTTTTAAATCTTTTTTTTTCTTTTCTGTCTTTGTCATTCTTTTTCCTTATTTTAGGTGGAAGATGTGTTACAACGCTGTCGAGAATATTTAATTAAAAAAATAAATGCAGAGAACTGTGTACGGTTGCTGAGTTTTGCTGATCTCTTCAGTTGTGAAGAGTTGAAACAGAGCGCTAAAAGAATGGTGGAGCACAAATTCACAGCTGTGTGCCACCAGGAAGCCTTCATGCAGCTGTCACATGACCTGCTGATAGACATCCTCAGTAGTGACAACCTCAATGTAGAAAAGGAGGAGACCGTCCGTGAGGCGGCCATGCTGTGGCTGGAATACAACACGGAGTCGAGGTCCCAGTATCTGTCCTCAGTTCTTAGCCAGATCAGAATCGATGCACTCTCAGAAGTGACTCAGAGAGCTTGGTTTCAGGGCCTCCCACCCAATGATAAATCCGTTGTGGTTCAGGGTCTTTATAAGTCCATGCCCAAATTTTTCAAGCCAAGACTTGGGATGACTAAAGAGGAGATGATGATTTTCATTGAAGCATCCTCAGAGAATCCCTGTAGTCTTTACTCTTCCGTCTGTTACAGCCCCCAGGCAGAAAAAGTTTACAAGTTATGCAGCCCACCCGCAGATCTGCATAAGGTTGGGACCGTTGTGACCCCTGATAATGACATTTACATAGCAGGGGGCCAAGTTCCTCTGAAAAACACGAAAACAAATCACAGTAAAACAAGTAAACTCCAGACGGCCTTCAGAACTGTGAATTGCTTTTATTGGTTTGATGCACAACAAAATACCTGGTTTCCAAAGACCCCAATGCTTTTTGTCCGTGTGAAGCCATCGCTGGTTTGCTGTGAAGGCTACATCTATGCAATTGGAGGGGACAGTGTCGGTGGAGAACTGAACCGGAGGACTGTGGAAAGATACGACACTGAGAAGGATGAGTGGACAATGGTGAGCCCTTTGCCCTGTGCGTGGCAGTGGAGTGCTGCGGTTGTGGTTCACGACTGCATTTATGTGATGACACTAAACCTCATGTACTGCTACTTCCCAAGGTCTGATTCATGGGTAGAAATGGCCATGAGGCAGACTAGCAGATCTTTTGCCTCAGCTGCGGCTTTTGGTGATAAAATTTTCTATATCGGAGGGTTGCATATTGCTACCAATTCTGGCATAAGACTTCCCTCTGGCACTGTAGATGGGTCTTCAGTAACTGTGGAAATCTATGATGTGAATAAAAATGAATGGAAAATGGCAGCCAACATCCCTGCTAAAAGGTACTCTGACCCCTGTGTTAGAGCTGTTGTGATCTCAAATTCTCTCTGTGTGTTCATGCGAGAAACCCACTTAAACGAACGAGCTAAATATGTCACCTACCAGTATGACCTGGAACTTGACCGGTGGTCTCTGCGGCAGCACATATCTGAACGTGTATTGTGGGACCTAGGGAGAGATTTTCGATGCACTGTGGGCAAACTTTACCCATCCTGTCTGGAAGAATCTCCATGGAAGCCACCCACTTACCTTTTTTCACCAGATGGGACAGAGGAGTTTGAACTGGATGGAGAAATGGTTGCGCTACCACCTGTATAGGGGAATTCAGAGAGTACACTCCCAGATTCATGATTGCCTTTGCTAAACCAGAGGCCATGAAAGGACTAAATATGAGTACATAAAAATCTATTGTTAATAAATTTTATTTTTATGCCCTACTTAATATTTGCATCAGTATAATATATACCAGTGTGTCATACAGAAAGATACGCTTCTGTAACATGAATAGGTTATTCAATAATTGAGCAACTTCTATGTGTATCATGAGCGCATAAGAGTCTGGATTATCTGACATTGTTAGCCCTGTGTATGTACAGCTCAAAAATTCACTTAAAAAGTAGCTTCCTGTTCCTAGTGTTATCAAGATTGTGCTGAAATTACTTAGTAAATGTACTCCATTCCTGTATTCTGAAGTCCTGGAATAGAATTGTTCCAGTGTGATTAATTCAGCTGCACTTAACACTAATAATGTTGATGTTGGTGTAGAAATGTCTTCTAAGTCCTATACGTGAGGAAGATCTTCCATAACTGTCTGGTATTACACAGGGAGAGCTATGACTGCAGGATCAGTCTAACCTATTAGGTGCATGTACTCTTTCCACTGACACTTGTCTGTCTAGAATACAGGTTGTCCAGTCAGCTGGTTGTTTACCAGGTGTGGACTTAAGTTGCTGGGCTTGCAATAGGAATTGCTAGTCCCTCATTGTGCGGGTCTATGTGGAGCTTTGATCAGTAAATGTCTCCACTTCTCTGTATTACATTAACATTGGCTCATGCATATAACCACCTGCTGCTGATTAGTTCTCCATCTTAAAGATGTAGAGTGGATTAACCAGGTCATTACATCTTAGTTTAATAACAAGCATTACTGTAGAGTGACTGTGTATAGGTATCTGTTAAGTGTGTGTTTTAATCTGATGTGTGTGTGTTGGGGTGGGTTAGGAAGGTAAACTGTTCAGGAATTGTCTGCACTGCTGTGCAGAAGAGCAGAGAACTCATACTGCTCTGGCATTAATCCCAGGAACCACTAGCAGTAGTGGGGCGCCCCAACTTAACATGAGCACAGGTGCTTCATGACAAACAGTACTAGCATGTTCAACTGCATAATGTTCTGGCACTGTATTTTGAATGATATTAATTTATTAAATAAATTGTATATATTCAATATCTGGGTTTTTGTTTTTTTCTTTTGTGATGGGAATGTTCTAGCTATGCTTTTAGTTGGGATTTTACTAGGTCAGCTTAGGTAGTTTTGAGTGTTTTTTTTCAGAATTTATTTGTGTTGCATATGACATGCACACGTTCTAACGTCCCTTACTATGGTTTCATTTTCTGCGGTTTCAGTTACCAAGGTCAACTTTCGTTGGAAAACTTTAGAAATTCCTAAGTTTCCAAATTGTAGAGTGTTTTAGGGGTTAGAAGAGAAAGCTTCACAGGCAGACACCAATGATCAGCAGCTTGAGCCGTGCCTGCGAGCCCTGCTTTGGGAAAGAATTTAATTTTTTCCCATGAATTCCTCAAGGAGTAGACTATAGTCGGGAGCCATCTTGAAAAGGAACCTATTGTCTGAATCTGGGGGTATTCTATAGGCCATATCATTCATATATATATTTAAGAGGTCATTAAATTGGGCAGGAGGCAGTGGGGGGAGGTGGGGGGAGGGAGCCAATCTAAATGCCATCAAACTATATTGTATAATATTGTATAGAAATTGGAGCTGGGAGCTGGAGCTAGCTCAGCAGTTAAGAGCACTGACTGCTCTTGCAGAGGACCAGGTTCGAGTCCCAGCACCCATGTGGTGACAGCCGTCTGTAATTCCAGTTCCAGGGGGATCCAACACCCTCTCTGTCCTCTGTGGGCACTGCATGACAGAGGTGCACTTACATACATGCAGGCAATATACTCATACACATAAAATAATATTTTTTTAAAAAAGAAGTTGCCGGGCTTGGTGGCACACGCCTTTAATCCCAGCACTCGGGAGGCAGAAGCAGGCGGATCTTTGTGAGTTCAAGGCCAGCCTGGTCTACATAGTGAGTTCCAGGACAGCTGGGGCTACAGGGAGACCCTGTTTCAAAAAGACCAAAATAAATAAATAAATAAAAATTAAAAAAGAAAGAAATTAGAGCTGGAGCTGGGCATGGTGGCACACACCTTTAGTCCCAGCACTTGGGAGGCAGAGGCATGTGGATCTTTGTGAGTTCTAGGCCAGCCTGGTCTACATAGTGAGTTCCAGGGCATCTGGTGCTACAGGGAAACCCTGTCTCAAAAAAGAGAAAGTAAGAGCTGGACAGATGGCTCAGCAGTTAGGACCCAGGTTCTGTTCCCAGAACCCACATGGCAGCTAATTACCATTGGTAACTCCAGCTCCAGGGGACCCAATGCCCCCTTCTGGTTTCCGCAGGCACTGCATGCACATTTTAACATACATGCAGGCAGAATACTCATAAAATAAAAATGTAAAAAACTATATTGTATAAAGATTGCAAAAATTCAGTTTAAAACAAAACACCCAAGACCTTCCCCAGCGCTGGTCTTGTGGGTCCTGCTCCTAAGTCAAACGTGGCTGAGTAAAGTGACTGATTCAGACTTATCATGTGCCTTGCACTGTTGGGGACAAGGATTGCTACATGCAGAAGAGTAGAGGGCACTGGTCCTCAGAACTGTGAAGTTGTGAAGCTTGCCCCAAGATCAGGGGCGTGGCCCATGGTACAGATTCACCAGCGCCTGAACTGAAAGTTACCGGCAGTTGGCTGCTCTCTTCCCAACAGTTACCCACAGGTGCCTGCCATTAACAGCCCAGGGAAGAGCTGGGCATGTGGAGGCATGGAGCAAAGCTGTACTCTGGCTGTCACCCCATCCTCAAACCCCACACCTGAAGATGCCTGGAAAGAAACCGCCTGGTGCTTGCTGTTCTTGCTTTCACACCATGGGCTCATCCAGGGAAGGAAATCAAGGTTCGAGGAGCCCTTGCTGTTACTCGGCCCCTGGATGTGTACAGCTAAGGGAGCCTTAGGAGTTTTCGTGGTTCCTTCTCTTCTGATGAGCACTACAGCTGAAAGGGTTGGGGAAGCCCGACCTGTCCTCCTGTGCCATGTGCACATGGCTGGGGAGTTCTGGCTCTCGAATGGGCACAGTAAGGAGGAACGGCACAATTTCTACCAGCACGTTCCTGTCACCTGCCTCTGCCTGCACCTTGTCTGACCATGCCCCACTGAGGGAGTGCTGTGGCTCCTGCCTCTAGCTCTTCCCATCAAGCACCCTGCTCCACACCACTGGTCAGAGGACCCATGCAAGCAGTGGCCAGCATCAGCAGTACCCTGGAAAGCCTCATCGCCTGGCTAGGGCCACCACTCCCATTGTGGACATGGCACACAGTGTGCTCCCCCGACTCTGCTCTCTACACCACACCTTCAAAACTGTGTGTTCCTATTCTTACCTCACCTATAAAGAGTGAATCTTCCCAGCTTTGATATAGAATCTGCTGTGTCCAAACTTCCTAATCATAAACCCCAAACCACCACAAAAACAAAACAAAAACTATAGTCTTTCTCTCTCCAGACATTGCATAATAAACTGATAGCCCAAGGCACAGCTCCACAAGAAAGCCGCTTAATAAGAAGAACATTCTAAGGCCCTTGAGATGACTCAGTGGGTAACAATGCTTGCTTCATAAGCCTGGTGACCTGAGTTTGATCTCCAGAACCCGCGACAGGAGGAGAGAGCTGACTCTTGACAGTTGTCCTCTGACTGACTCCATATGTGTGCTGTGGCATGTGTGCCCACGTGCATGTGGGCATGCAGACGTGCACACACACAACCAAATTTTGGAAATTATTAAAAAGGCCATCCAAATTAAAGGGTGGACAGCTGACCCATCAGATACACAAAGACATATGGAGGAACTCAAGACAACGGAGAAACAAATGTGATGCCCTTCAAAGACCAGAACTTCTTTTTTTTTTTTTTTTTTTTTTTTGTCATTTTGAGACACAGTCTCCCCATAGTCCCAGCTGTCCTGGAACTCACTACGTAGACCAGGCTGGTCTTCAACTCACAGAGATCCTCCTGTGCCTACCTCCCAAGTGCTGCAATTAAAGTTGTGTGCCACCACGCCTAGCAAGGATTGGAACTCTTTAGCAAAGGATTCCAAAGAATTAAAATGGATGAACTATCTGAAAAAGAATTCACAGGAAATGATCTTTTTAAATATTTTATTTATTATTTTTATTTTTTATGTGTATGAGTGTTATGCCTGCATGTAGGTAAGTGTACTTGTGTCTTGCAGTGCCCACAGAGGACAGAAGAGGCTGTCAGATCCCCTGGAACTGGAGTTACGGACAGTTGTTAGCTGCCATGTAGGTTCTGGGATTTCAACCCGGGTCTTCTGCAAGAACAGTCAGTGTTCTTAACTGCTGAGCCATCTCTCCAGCCTGGAAATGATCTTTTTAAAGATCATGACCACCAAAACATGTGATCGTCACACTGCCTAAAGTTCAGGCCAAGAGAGAATGGAATAACATATTCCAGGCCCTAAAAGAAAATTACCAAGTGAGGTTACTGTACCCAGCAAGGCATGTGGAACCTGGTGACTGGAGAGATGGCCCTGTGGTTAGGAGCACTGGATGCTCTTTCAGACGACCAGGGTTTGGTTTCCCACCCCCTACATGGCTGCTAACAACTGTCTGTAACTCCAGTTTCAGAGGATCCTACGCCGTCTTCTGGCCTCCTGGGGCACTAGGCACATGTGTACTTACATATATGTAGGCAAACACTCATACACATGAATAAAAACTGAAACTATGAGCCTGTGGGCATTATTTCAGATTTAAGCCATTAACAGTGTAATTCTATTAAAGGAAATATCCAGATATAGGTAGGTTCACAGAAATAGAGCCTTGGTGATTGGCAGGGGCAAGGTGGAAAATAGAAATGGATATTAGTATGTACAGAGTTTCTTTCTGAAGGAACAGAATTAGATAGGTGATGTTGTACAGCTTTGTGAACATCCTAAATACTTTTGATTTTTGTTACATTTATTTACTTATGGGTGAGCACAATGGAGATCAAACTTTTGGGAGTCAGTTCTCTCCTTCCACCATGTGGGTCCTTGGTGTTGAGCTCAGGTGGTCAGCCTTGGCATCAAGTGCCTTTACCTGCTGAACCATCTTGCTGTCTATAGGAATTAATTTAAAAGGATAAATTTTATGGTATATAAGCTATATCGCAATAAAACATGGCATTCAGATCAGAAATTTATTGATTTGATGCTTGATAATACTCAGAAATTTTAATTAAAATGTAAATTATCACTGGGCATGGTGGCACATGCCTTTAGTCCCAGCACTTGGAAGGCAGAGGCAGGCGGATCTCTATGAGTTCAAGGCCAACCTGGTCTATGTAGTGAGTTCCAGGCCAGCTGGGGCTGCAGAGAGACCCAGTCTCAAAAAAAAAAATGTAAATTATTAAAAACCTTTATCTTTTATAGATAATTTTTAAAATTTTTATTTTATGTGTATGAGTGTTATGCATGTATGTAAGTGTATCTGTGTCACGCAGTGCTCACAGAGGTCAGAAGAGGGCATCAGATCCCCGAAAACTGGAGTTAGGATGGTTGTTATCTGCCATGTGGGTGCTAGGAACTGAAAACAACAACCAGTGCTCCTAACTGCTGAGCACTCTCTCCAGCTCCAGAGATATATTCTTTTACATTCTTTAATTTTTTTTTCTTTTTTTACATATATGAGTGTTTTGCCTGCATGTATGTAAGTGCACCCATGTCATGCAATGCTCAGAGAGGCCAGAAGAGAGCATGAGATCCCCTGGACCTGGAGTTAGGGACAGCTGTCAGCCACCATGTGTGTGCTGGGCCTCTAACCTAGGTCCTCTGCGAGAGCAGCCAGTGTTCTTAACCACTGAGCCATCACTCCAGCCTCAAACATACATTCCTAATGCTGTGCAGATGAAATACAATGCTGGGATTGGCTTAAAAAATAACATGGGCTCTTCCTGTAAGCCGCTCAAGGTGACCTGTGAAAATGTTTCATTACTCTCTTGACCCAGAAAACCCTACAAAATCATGCACATCAAGAGGTTCGAACCTTCGTAGTCACTTTAAGAACACATGTGAAACTGCCCAGGCCATCCAGGGTATGCATATCCGAAAA